GAATCCCAAGCTGGAATTAAGATCACTGGAAGAAATATCAATAACCTCAGATATGCAGATGACACACCCTTGATGGCAGAAAGTGAGGAGGAATTAAAGAACCTTTTAATGAGGGTGAAAGAGGAGAGCGCTAAATATGGTCTGATGCTCAACATCAAAAAAACGAAGATCATGGCCACTGGGCCCATCACCTCCTGGCAAATAGAAGGGGAAGAAATGGAGGCAGTGAGAGATTTTACTTTCTTGGGCTCCATGATCACTGCAGATGGTGACAGCAGTCACGAAATTAAAAGACGCCTGCTCCTTGGGAGAAAGGTGATGGCAAACCTGGACAGCGTCTTAAAAAGCAGAGACATCACCTTGCCAACAAACGTCCGTATAGTTAAAGCCATGGTCTTCCCAGTAGTGATGTATGGAAGTGAGAGTTGGACCATAAAGAAGGCTGATTGCCGAAGAATTGATGCTTTTGAATTATGGTGCTGGAGGAGACTCTTGAGAGTCCCATGGACTGCAAGAAGATCAAACCTCTCCATTCTGAAGGAAATCAGCCCTGAGTGCTCACTGGAAGGACAGATCCTGAAGCTTTGGCCAATACTTTGGCCAATACTTTGGCCACCTCATGAGAAGAGAAGACTCCCTGGAAAAGACCCTGATGTTGGGAAAGATGGAGGGCACAAGGAGAAGGGGACGACAGAGGACGAGATGGTGGGACAGTGTTCTCGAAGCTACAAACATGAGTCTGACCAAACTGCGGGAGGCAGTGGAAGACAGGAGTGCCTGGCGTGCTCTGGTCCAGGGGGTCACGAAGAGTCGGACACGACTAAACAACAACAACAACAACAACCTTGGCAAACATGTCCAGACAAGTCCTTGGTACAAGATTAGCATAAGCAGACATGTCAGGGGAAGACCCAGGTATAAGATTAGCGTAGGGAAACACCTCTGAAGTCCCACCACCCAAAGGACAATAGAACTTCCTTTGCATGTCCGGACCCCTTGGCAAGTCCAGTGATGGAGTTAGGCTTTCCTTGGCCAACAATCAGCTCAGCAATTGTCACCTCTGGGAACCTCCTGGGGTAGGAGGTGTGTATACATGTCCCCAGGCTTGGGGAGGTGGCAGGGGAAAGAGTCATTTTCCCAAGGGCAAAATAGTGTTGAAATAGAGGAAACTGGCAAAGGAGTTGATTTTATATGATTGTTAAAGCTAGGTAACTTCCCTGAGCTGTCAAGTCGAAAGGATACATTTATGCATAATATTTGTAACATTTAACAACTTTAAAGATGTGACCCCCCCCCTGTAATTTCCATAACAATTAATAAGGGCAGGCTGGTTGGTGTTTGGTCTGTGGGCTGCAGTTGTGAAAACTGAGCAGCAGAAAGAGATCAAAATGGGCACACTTTCCCCCAAGTGTTGTATTACTAGAACCGAGGGTGAGTTTCCTTCTCAGAGGGGGTTGCCAATGGCATAGTTGCAAATAAGGGGTGTTTTGGGAGACTGAGAAGAGCAATTGTGAGATACAGTGGCTTTGAGATGCCTTCATCTTCCCCTCCCCACCAACCACCTGAAAACAGATCGGAAGATAAAGCAATCTTTAGGCTAAGGACCATTAAGCAAATAAATTATCTTAGCTGCCAGAGAGAGAGAGATATTTTTTTCTCCAGAGAGCTCTCAGACTTGAATTAAAATGACTGGGAGGAGAATGTTGCATGCTCCAGCAGACTTGATGCTCTGCGGGGCTTATTCATCTCTACACCTGAGGCTAGTGCTTGGCAGCTATGCAGCAGAACAAGAGTTGCACCTGAACATATATGTCTAACTGCCCTCTTTGTTGGTGAGCAGATTTCTGCAGCAGCCTTGCATGGAAGTGAGCTTAGTGTGATTTAGCACAAACGTTTGGCTCCCAAATGTGTTTACTGGTTGGCTTGCCCTCGTGGGTGGCCGTTTGCCATTTGCAGCACATCAAGTGGTCTGGAAAACAGAGATGGGCGAGTGAGAGAATCTACCAGTTTTGCAAACTCTTCATTTGGGAGGCAATTTTTACTTGCATCAGGCAAGAAGCTGTTTAGAAGACGGGATATGTCAGTTTCCCTCTATCTGGGTAGCTGGAAGAGGAGTCCTGCTAGGCCAGCCCCAAGTCCCACCAAATCCTGCATCCCTCAACAGCACACCAGGTATCTTGGAGGAGATGCTGCAGCTTCCGAAAGCCTGGACAAGGGGATTCAGAGAATCCTTTCCAACTCTGTAGACATTGAGAAGCCCAGCACAAAAGAACAGGGCAGAAAGAGTGAGGGAGATGCCACACTTTGCAGTGAGATGCAGCCGTTTCGGTTTAGCCAAATGTCCCTGGATCCAGCCCAGCAGGCCTTTCTTCTTTCTTTAGGGTTCAATTCCCACTCAACCCAGAAGCTGCTTGGGTGACGTTGGGGGCAAGTCTCTGCCTGTCTCAGCTTAGCCTACCCCACAGGGTTGTTGTGGGAGGGTTAAATGAGGAGGGAGAGAGACACATGCATGCCACCTTGAGCTCCTTGGAGGAAAAGGTGGGATACCAAGGCAATCAATCAATCAATCAATCAATCAATCAATCAATCAATCACATAAATAGTCACTGATTCCCACAGTCCTGACTCAGGAAGGAACAATGTCATTTTCACGTTCTGTTTCCCTGTAACGGCACAGTCCAGATCACTCCCGTACTTCTTCACCTCCCTCCCTCTAGCTCTGAAACCTAATTTCCTGGCTTTGCAGCTGTTCTGGTCTGCTTCCCCTGCATCTAAGTTCCTTAAAACAATCTGGCTTTTTCAGTGCAATGGGGAATCATGCTAGAAGAGTCATATGGATGGTGAAGCGTTCCTGCAGGGCCAGCACCTGGCTGCTGACAGGGGCCAGCCAAATATATGAAGCCTGAGGGGCTGCGGACAGTCGGACACACACCTCCCAATTCCCTTGACTAAATGGAGCCCCCATGACCAGGCATAGTGTACCTCAATATCACTTGCCGTCAAAGCCCATAAGTTTGCCTCTTTCTTGCTATGCTTTGAGGGCATGTCTTCCATCCTCCTGTGTTACTATCTTTTAGCATGATGCACAGGGACCATGCTGTCAGAAAGACTTCCTGCCCTCACTGAGGCTTCCTGTGGTGATAGAACGGTGTCTGATTGCCTTCTGTAGCAGAGAAAGTGGGCTTGCCAGCCAACGGTGCCCTGTGCAACTGGAGCATCCCCTCCCACCCGGGGTGTTTAATATTTCCCTTTGTGTTTTTGTTTTTAATGTGCTTTTTATTGAGCAGAAGAACAGGCGGTGCTTGTCTGGCATTCCTTTGCAGTTAGCCAAGGAGTCTAATGCCCTTATAAAAATGGATAAAACAAGAGAGGAAGATTTAATTTGTGCACTGGAGATGACTTACTGGAGGGCAAGTGGCAAGGGTCTTGTGCTCCTTGTTCAGGGCACCGTTTGTTCAAGGCAGGTCAAGAGCGCCAAAGGGGCTCTGTCCAGCCCAGCCTCCTGTTCTCACAGTGGCCACAAAGGCCCACAAGCAGGACCTGAGAGCAAGAGCAGGACTCTCCCCTCTTGCAGCTTCTGGCGACTGCTGCTCAGTAAGCACTACTGCCACCAACCATGGAGGCAGAGCATGGCCATCAGCTTGATCCAAATATAATCCTTCCCTTTCTTTGCTAAAATGGATGGTTCCAGGGCCTGGTCTTGTGGGTACATGAGGTCATTCCCTTTCCAAAGCTAAGCAGGTTTCAATCTGGCCCAGATTTTCTCAGGAGATCACTGGGGAAGACACTTTGTAGGCAGACGGGAGTCCCATATTGGGAGAAAGGTGGGATATAAATAAATCACACCTGACCTTGCCTTTGCCAACATGGTGCCCTCTAGCTCTTTTGGACGACAACTCCTGCCAGCCCCAACCAGCACAACCCATGCAGATGTGGTCCAAAATAGATTGAGGGGGAGGGGCTCCAGGTTGATGCAAATGCATCAAAATTATATCTGAGAGTTTTTAGAAAAAAGAAAACCTCACAGTAGGGCTGCTATGAAGGGGTTCCTGTTCTACCCCCTTCCTCTCTGGGGTCCAGATGCAATGTGCAGCTTGATTGGTGGAAAGAGAGGAAACAGCACAAATATTCCAATCACAGACCAGAGCTCTCCAGTATTCCTTTACCAAAGCACCCAGAGTCTCTGAACATCCCGCTTCCTGCCTCTCTGTTTGAGGACCTGCTGTGTGCTAATGGGATGCTCCCTGATGTTCTGCCTGCAGGATCAGATTTGCAGGTATGCATCCCTAGAGGCCTGACATGCTGCTCCCGGAAAATGGAGGAGAAATACCAAGCCATGGCTCGTTCCAACATGGAGCAGCTCCTGCAGTCGGCCAGCATGGAGCTGAAGTTCCTCATCACCCAGAACGCGGCGACATTCCAAGGTAGGTGGCAGCGTTCCGTGGTGGGTCTTCCAGGTAGGTGGAGCTTCTGCTGGGAAGTCCTGAGGTGGGAAGGCCACTGGCTGGGGTTAGCCAGGCATGCCAGGCTGGGAATCTTCAGAGGGTCAGGGAGTAAGTCCCCCATCTTTCTTCCTGAGTTTATGAAACATGGCTAAGCTGCAACTCTGATTGCTGCAGGTGCCCAGTGAGTTGCTCAGAAGTTGAGCTTCAGGTTGGCACAGTTCATTCTGGGATCTCCCGGTGGAGATCCAATCTGCTACTGTAGTACAAAAAACCAGTACTTCCCCTGCCTCACATAATACTCATGTTGCAATCAGCGGTCTGCTGGTCCGTACAGTATTCATAGTCCATTAATAGATCATCTCACTGCAGTAAGAATTTCTTAGGCAACATGTTGAGAAAACACTACTAAGCAGCGAACAATCACTTTTTTAAAAAGTATGTTTAGAACTTAGTAAAATGAATAATTCCTTTTCAGCCTGGTCTTTGGCTTGATCTTAACTATCTATGGCCTTTTAGAGTGGGTGGGATGTGGGGTTTTTTATTTTGTTTCCAAAAAATGTGTGTGTATATATATATATATATATATATATATATATATATATATGTATATATATATACACACACACCCACACACACCCACACACACCGTATTTTTCGCTCTATAAGACGCACCAGACCACAAGACGCACCTAGTTTTTGGAGGAGGAAAGCAAGAATAAAAATATTCTGAATCTCAGAAGCCAGAACAGCAAGAGGTGTCGCTGTGCAGTGAAAGCTTCTGGGATAGCTGTGCAGCCTGCATTCACTCCATAAGACGCACACACTTCCCCTTACTTTTTAAGAGGGAAAAAGTGAGTCTTATAGAGCAAAAAAAAAAGTATATATAGAGAGAGAGAGAGAAAGAGAGAGAGATTTACATCAATAATATTTTATCAAAATCAGCACGTGTGGCTGTTTGGGCTACTGCACTGGATGGATGATGATGATAATAATAATAATAATAATAATAATAATAATAATAATTAAAGAGAGCCAGTGTGGTGTAGTGGTTAAGAGCGGTAGTCTCGTAATCTGGGGAACCGGGTTCGCGTCTCCGCTCCTCCACATGCAGCTGCTGGGTGACCTTGGGCCAGTCACACTTCTCGGAAGTCTCTCAGCCCCACTCACCTCACAGAGTGTTTGTTGTGGGGGAGGAAGGGAAGGAGAATGTTAGCCGCTTTGAGACTCCTGAAGGGGAGTGAAAGGCGGGATATCAAATCCAAACTCTTCTTCTTCTTCTTCTAATAATAATAATAAATTTATTTGTATGCCGCCCGCCTAAGCTGAAGCCGGGCTCAGAGCGGCTGACATCAAATGTATAAAACATTAACATAAAATCAGACAATCAATTAAAATACATCCTCAAATCAGATCAGGATCAGAATAAAATCCAATCAGATGGCAACCCGCAGATTAGGGTTGGGAACCTTAAATGCTCACCAGGCCCAACTGTTTGTGCTGAACTTATATGGGCCTGTGAGAAAAATTGGGAGGCCACTTTCATGCAAATTCTTATGAAAGGGGAAAGGGAGTTAGACTGAACCCCGACCAAAGGCCTGGCAGAACAGCTCCGTCTTGCAGGCCCTGTGGAAAGATGTCAAGTCCTACAGGGCCCTAGTCTCTTGTGACAGAGCGTTCCACCAGATTGGAGCCACAGCCGAAAAAGCCCTGGCTCTAGTTGAGGCCAGCCTAACCTCTCTGTGGCCTGGGACCTTCAGGATGTTTTTATTTGAAGTTTTTCTGTGGGACATACCAGGAGAGGCGGTCCCATAGGTACGAGGGTCCTAGGCCGTATAGGGCTTTAAAGGTTAAAACCAGCACCTTAAACCTGATCCTGTACTCCACCGGGAGCCAGTGCAGCTGGTATAGCACCGGGTGAATGTGATCCCACGGCGAGGACCCCGTTAGGAGTCTTGCCACGGCGTTCTGCACCCGCTGGAGTTTCTGGGTCAGTCTCAAGGGCAGCCCCACGTAGAGCGAGTTACAATAGTCCAGTCTGGAGGTGACCGTCGCGTGGATCACAGTGGCTAGGTCAGGGCGAGAGAGGTAAGGAGCCAACTGCTTAGCTTGGCGGAGATGAACAAATGCCGCCTTAGTTGTAGCTGCAATCTGCACCTCCATGGAAAGGGAGGTGTCGAGGATTACACCCAAACTCTTAAAGGACGGTGCTGGCACTAATTGCACCCCCCCGCAAGAGATGGGAGTTGCCCCCCTCAATCCCATATCCTCCCTTCCCAGCCAAAGGACCTCTGTCTTCGAAGGATTTAACTTCAACCAGCTCCCATGTAACCATCCAGCCACAGCTTCCAAACATCTGGTCAGTGTGTCTGGGGCCGAGTCAGGATGGCCATCCATCAACAGATAGAGTTGGGTGTCATCGGCATACTGATGGCAGCCCAGCCCAAAACTCCAGACAAGCTGGGCAAGGGGGCGCATAAATATGTTGAAAAGCATCGGGGAGAGTATTGCACCCTGAGGCACTTCACACACCAAGGAGTGGTGCGATGACAGTTCCCCCCCCAAGCGCCACCCTCTGTCCCCGACCAGAGAGAAACGAGCGCAGCTATTGAAGGACTGTGCCCTGGATCCCCTCATCAAGGCGGTGGTCCAGGAGTTCGTGATCGACCATGTCGAAGGCTGCTGACAGCTCTAGAAGAATCAGCAGCCCCGACCCGCCTCGATCCAGCTGTCTACGAAGATCATCTGTTAGGGCGACCAGAGCCATCTCGGTCCCATGACCAGCGCAGAAGCCGGACTGGAATGGATCCAAGGCCGATGTTTCTTTTTTTTTTAAAATGATATTTATTGAAGGAATTTTTTTTTTAAGTTACAAAAGAAAACAAAGTAGAAAAAGAGAAAAACAAGCCACTTCCAACCATACAAATACACAAAATAAGAGAGAGAAAAAACAAAAATACACCACAAAAATTTAAAAACAATTAAAAACAAATCCATTATTTTCAACTCCTCAACTGTCATTACCTTCTTTCCTTGACCTCCTCCTCCTCCCCTTCATTGTGTCCTGGTTGTTAATTGTCACAGCAAATGCTTTCCATATTTCATAATATTTCATAATTACCTTAAACTATTTTAATCTTATCTTACTATAAAAAACCTTGGAACTTAAAACTTAAATCTTATTTTTACCAACTTCTCATAACCATAATATTCTTACATAATTCTTTAAACATTTTTACTAAAGCCAAATAATTTCATTCCAACATTTTTCTAACATTCATCAATTTTATAAAACAGTCATAGTGATGAAAAAAAGGAATAAAAACAAATCCAATCTTCATCCAGCGTCCCTTCCTCCTGGTCCCGGGTTTGTCAGTCCTTATTATCCCATCGATCTGGCGCATTAACCTGGTGACCTTATATCCGAGGCCCTTAAGTCTCTTCCATGTCCCTTCCGCAGCTCTTCTTCATATTTGTAACTGTATTTTCCCTTGTCTCCTGCTCGTTTCACTCATGGGAACTCCAGCTTAGCAATATTTCTGACCCTTCTTGACAGATCAGCCCCTTTTCCATAATCGACACTAAATTCCATGTGGTATTTAAAAACATGTTCAAAAACCCTCCAAAATTGAGAGCCCCCACAATCCCAAACATCTCACGGCCCATTGCCAGACTTGAAAAGTCCAAAAATCCCTGCATAGGAGGGTCTATCCAACCCCCCATTTCCAAACCAAACCAAACTTTTCTTTCCAAATCTGGCTTTTCCAAGTTCATTTGTCAAATCCAAAGCTCATATTCCTGTTGGGCCTGTTCTGTCAGGGCACACTCTGATTTAATTCCTGGGTGGGCTCCACATATTTTCCCACTGCCTGTTCAAAATTTCTAATCGAATCAGCCATCAAATTCGTCTTCTCATGTAGCTGTTCCAGTAGGGCATTTGTTTTATAGAAAGCACACAACAGAGCTTCTGAATACATTGTCCTGCAAGGTCAGATGTCTATTCCCACGATTGTAATCTGTAACAGCTGCCAGCTCCCAGGAGTTGGTTACAGTTTCACAGTCTCCTCTAGGGGAAAACTTCTATTTGATCTTTCTTTAAAGACAAGTCTAGCAACAGAGTTTCCTTTTTCAGATATTTTGTCAATATTTGTTCCTTTAAGGTGCGAAAGGAAACAATGGAATCACTATGTTCCTCTTCTTTTAGCTATCTGTCAAAAGCGTTTGTCTCTGGTCAATGAGCTTCAAACGTCAGTCCTGACACCCCGCTCCAGGATCAGGATGGTGGAAAGTTACTTTACTTTAAACTCACTTCTGCAGGTTTAAACAGTCCAAAAAAAGATCCCCCTTCTTCTCCTGCTACCGAAGGGGGGTTCAACAATTTTAAATGATGAAAGCCAATCCTTTAGAGGCGATTTTCTGAGCTCTAGTTTACGTTGTCTTTGCTTTATTCTGTCTACAAAGAAACGGAAGGCTGACTTCCTGTTTAGACCTTCCCGTTTCAGTACCAAATTGAAGTAAAATTTTAAGTCCAATTCTTTTCTGCTCGTAAGTCCTTATTTAAAGTCCAATTGTTCAAAGTTTAAGTACTCACAGGTGCTTATTTTAGAAGCCAAATTGTCCCAGGAAAAAGGCAGCGCTCTCCGGCAACGGCTGTGCGGCTTCGCTCCACGGAAATAGCAGTTGACTCACAGTACCGCGCCGCTTCCCCCTCTTCGCCGGAGCCCGTTAGTGGGTTCCTTTGTGGGGTTGGGGGCGCTAAGGGTGCCCGCCGAGTCCCATGGTCACAGGCTTCATCCGCCTGTGATTTTTAAAAGGGTCCCCGCTTCGCCGTAGCGGAAAAGACCCGTTTCACGCGGAGCTAGTCCCTCCAGTTCAGAGGGAGTCTGGCATTGCCGATGGCACCACCCCGGAAGTCAGGGCCGATGTTTCATCCAGAAACCCACCAAGCTGTTCAGCAACCGCTCTCTCAATCACCTTACCCAGGAATGGAAGATTCGAAACCGGGTGGTAATTGGATAGATCTAAAGGATCTAATGATGTTTTCTTTAAGAGCGGGCGCACCACTGCCTCCTTCAGTTCCCCTGGGAATGTCCCGGTGCCAAGAGACAAATTGATGATATCCCACAGGAGGGCCCGCACCTCGTCTGGACACGCTCTAATCAGCCAAGACGGGCACGGGTCGAGAGGATAGGTGGTGGGCTTTCCAGCTTGGAGGAGTCTGGATAGTTAATGATCATCAGCCCTGTGGACCAGGGGTAGGCAACCTAAGGTCCGTGGGCTGGATCTGGTTCAATCGCCTTCTCAATCCAGCCCATGGATGGTCCAGGAATCAGTGTGTTTTTACATGAGTAGAATGTGTCCTTTTATTTAAAATGCATCTCTGGGTTATTTGTGGGGCATAGGAATTCGTTCGTTATTTTTTAAAAAAATATAGTCCGGCCCCCCCACAAGGTCTGAGGAATGGTGGACCCGCCCACAGCTGAAAAAGGTTGCTGACCCCTGCTGTGGACTCTGTACTCAAGAACAGTGATCTTAACAGCACCACCAAGGATCTGTTCTTACCTGCATAATCTCCTGTCACAGCTGTACAGATGTCTTTGAGCTGTGCATCTACATCCACACACAAACATTTCAAT